CCAATGCTGTATTCTCTACTCAGCCAGCAGTCTGTATGTTAACAAGGTGGAAACTGAGACACATTATAACACATGATAGCCAACAGGTAAAGTTTGGAATCAATTCTTCTTAACTTCCAAAAATATGAGGAATGGAAATTAAATAGAGAAAGTATTGTAGGCATGGTGAGCTGGAGAAATCTCTCTCCCTAATCTTATTCTAGTATTAGTGTTGAACTAGGGCCTGTTTGCCTCTGAGGTATTCATCAGTAAAACTGATACTGAAAGTAAGTGATGAAACCTTGGGGAAGAAGGAGGGTGGCAGAAATCATAGAACCAGAAAGGACCTGTACGATCATCAAGTCTGGTCCCTTGCCACGGGCAGGTAGTATTGGGCTCAGATGGACTTAGCAAGGTGCCTGTCCAGCCTTGTCTTGAACACCTCCAAGATGGGCAACTGCACCACCTCTGCTGGGAGCATGCTGCAGATTCTGGTGACACTTACAGAGAAGTTTTTCCTTATATCCAACCTGAATTTACCCTCTATTAGTTTATGCCCATTGGTCGTTGTCCTCCCTTGAGGTGCCCTCCTGAATAGTTGCTCTCCTAGTTCTTGATGCTCCCCACTGAGGTACTTGTAGGCAGCTATCAAGTCACCTCTCAGCCTTCTCTTCCTCAGGCTGAACAGGCCTAGTTCCCAGAGTTTCTCCTCATAGGGCCTACCCTCCATGCCCTTAATTAAATGAGTGGCCCTTCTTTGTACCCTCTTGAGCTTATCTATGTCCTTCTTGAAGTACAGTGCCCAGAACTGGGCATAGTACTCCAGCTGAGGCCTCACCAAGGCTGAATAGAGAGGAAGGAGTACCTCCCTGAATCTATTGGCCAAACTGCAGCTAATGCACTCCAGAGTTTTATTGGCCCTTTTGGCAGCCTTGTCACACTGTTAGGTCATATTCATTTTCCAGTCAGTTGTGACCCCCCCCAGTTCTCGTTCAGATGTTGTGCGAACCAACAGGCAACTACCCATTGTATAGTTGTGGTGAGGGTTCTTCTTACCCAGGTGAAGGACCTTGCACTTCTCCCTGTTAAACCTCATCTGATTTCATCCCTCCCATAAGTCCAGTCTGTCAAGGTCCTCCTGGATCTTTGCCCTATCCTCTGGCATGTCCGTGTTTCCCCACAGCTTGGTACCATCTGCAAACTTCATCATAGTGCTTTCTACCCCTTCATCCAAATCTTTAATGAATATATTGAATAACACAAGTCCTGGGGGACCCCACTGGAAACAGCCCTCCAGGATGAGGCCATCCCATTGATCACCACTCTCTGGGAGTAGCCTCTGAGCCAGTTGTCCACTCGGGCTGTGAGAGGATTCAGACCGCGCTTCAGATGTGGAGAAGCTTTGGACGCTTTAGCGTCCAAAGCAGCATGTCCAGATCAAAGCACTGGCTTCGTTAGGCTTCCTGAAGCAGTTCAGAGCTTCCAAAGTGCTTTGGAAAAGCTTCGGAGCTGCTTCGAAGATCCGGCCATAGGGTATAATGGGGAAACAATGAAATGTCTATAACTTTGCTCTTCTGTTTGATTTGGATGAAATTTGTAGGGATGGTGGCCTCTGCTGAGAGCATGAAGCCTGCCAAGTTTCAAGATCAGTGCAGGGGTTCAGGAGGAACTGCACCCCAAATTCTTGAAAGAAAACTTGTGTCACTTCTATGTATTACACCACAGGGGGGTGAAAACTGCAGGGGTGGTAGCCCTTGGTGAGGCCACAAAGCCTGCCAAGTTTCAAGGTGGTAGGTGCAGGGGTTTGGGGGGAAACTGCACCTCAAGCTGCTGACAGGCAAAACTCATGACACAGATGACCCTGTGTGTGTCAAGGTGCAGTGGGCTGAATACTGAAGAGGTGCTAGCCCCTGCTGAGGCCACAAAGCCTGCTGAGTTTCAAGGAGATAGGTGCAGGGGGGTTCTGGGGCCCTGCATCTCTGGCTGCTGCCAGGCAAAACTCATGTCATGGGTGCTTGTGCAACTGTGTCCATCTAGAAGAGACTCTCCCTGTGCCTGAAGAAGGGTGTTTGAGCCTGAAAGCTTACAAAGAACAATTTTGCCAACTATTTAGCTGGTCTAATAAAAGATATCATATTTACCCAAAGAATCTTGTCCAGCTTTTGGAAAAGCATCCAATCTTGATGCAAAAGTGGACAATCTGCCAGAAAGTAGTCTAAAGTCCATCACTGTTAAGAATCAGGGCCCTGTTTCTACTACAGGAATGCTTAGCTTCAAATTCCAATCATTCAATCTGTCTGCTAGGTTGAATCTCCCAGATGTTTTCTGTTTCTCATTTAGGTACTTACAAGTGGTGATCAAACCAACCCTTAACCTTTCTAATAAGCTAGATAAGTTGAGTTCCTGGAATCTTGCACTATAAAGCATTTTTAATCCTTTTTAAAGTCTTTTCTAAACATTCTCTAAATTATTTATCATCATCTGTCATGAATTGAGGACACCAGAGCTGGGTACACTATTCTAGCTGCAGTCACCCAAGTACCAAATATAGGGGTGAGATGAACAACTCTTAATTTATATTCTTTTAAAATATCCAAATATCACATTATCCCTCTTAGCCATAGCATCACATTAAGAGCTCATCTTCAGCCAGTTATCTACCCTTACCCCCAGCCTTTTTCAGAAGCACTGCTCCCTAGGAAGCCTCCCTTTTTCTGTAAGCATCATCCACAACCCTTTCTCCTAGAGGTATGATTTTACATTTGTGCATGAAAATTATTGTTTGCTTGTGTTCTGCTTACCAAGCAACTCATATTATTCTGTATTCATGCCTGGTCTTCATTATTTACCACTTTCCCAGTCTTTGCTATCACCAAATGTTATCAGTAATGATTTTTTGTTCTAAACATTAACCAGCATAAAACTGAGAATTAAACCCTGTAGAATCCCACCAAAAACACTCACTCAGTGATTTTCTGTTTGCAAGACCTTTCAAGACCTATCAGTTTGTTATTAGTATTTATTCTGTGCTACAGTGACTTTATATCTTCTGGTTTCCTAGTCAGTATATAATTTGGTAGCAAGAGGAGTGAAGGTAGTTCTTTTTGTACTGGTGGAAGAATAGGGATAATGAACACAAACCCCAAACCAGCAAAACCCAAGGGGATGTTGTGTATCAGGTTGAATACATTGATTCAGCACATACCTACTGCATCTTCTACAAGCGAGGCTTCTAAGGGAGTATGGAAATCCTAAAGAGGGTGGTGGTGGTGGTAAGACCTACCAGCCACAAAGATGATTTGCCAGAGTAGTGTCATGTTTTGCATTCATCATTACAGAAGGTAACATGTGCCTCCTTTTCATCAATGCAAGCTACCAATTGCCTCAAAAATCAAATATTTCCATGCCATTCAACTGCCAATAATGAATGTAAGCCATTTCCTTTTTGCAGTGTTCACATGGCATTTCTCAGAGCTAGAGGCAAGAAAAAGCAGCAGTTACAACAAGAAGTTTTCAACTAATACAACCCGGTTTCCTTCAGAAATAGAGATGTTTCGTGACTGTTCTGCTATCAGTGTATCTAACTATGGTAATTTACTCAATACCTTTACCTGCGTGGAGGCTTTTTAGTCATGGAGCTAACTGTCACCTTCATTACTTATTGAAATGCTGTTCCAGTAAAATTATTTCAACTTTCACCCCAGATTTAGATCTGGGGAAAGGAAAAGGTAAAATATTGTACTTGGTCCTATTCTGTTTCTACTATTAGTTTAGAAATCTAAATTAAGAATTTCCCTTAACTGAAAGTTGCATTGGAGCTAACAGAGGAGAAAACAATATTACTAGCAGAAAGAAGTCAGCAGTGTGTTAATTTTTATATTCAGGTAGAAACCTAGAATAATTCCACTTACTTCAGTAATTATGCCAGCTTTACACTGCTGTAAGATAGTGGAGTTCAACCTTTTTAGCAGTTGTGCCCCAAATTAGCTGCACACCTTCCCTAAGTGCCACTTCAATCCCTTTCCCCTGCTTGATCTGCTACTTTGCTTTCTGTTCCCTGCCCTATCTGCTGTGTGCCACACACAGAGGCTGCCCATGCCACTTGTGCTTTCTGTGCTGCAGGTTGACCGCCCCTGCATCAAGAAATCAGAATAGGTTGCTAAAATACATCCATCTAGATCTCCCTTGCTCATTATCATCTGAAAGCCTAAATCTACCTTTGAAGTCATGACTGAATAAATAACTTCCAGAGATAAATTACTGCATTTTTAGTCACCTATTTAATAACATTGACTGAAATGGCTCCACAAACCATCACAGCAGAATAGTGCATGACATGCAGCCTGAAATTAAGTGCCGTATAATGGATGCCAGCAGCCAACGCAATCAGAATCGAGGATGTAACTCATTAGCACCCCCGCCTTTTCCCATCTTCCATATACTCCTGTGCTGGAAAAAGCAGCATGCTACTCTTGATAAAAACAAAGATGATAAAATGTATTTATTCTTAATGTCCCTTTCACTATCATGCCTAACACAGCTTTTAAAAATAAAAAAAATACTTTTTTCAGAGACTTTACAACTCTCCTTTAAACCTAAAGAAAGTGCAATCAGAATCTCTTGATCAAGACATGCACCATACATTGCAGAGGTAGATGGAAAATTAATACAAACCCTGCATATTGTGATCATGACTGTAATAGTTAAGGTAAAAGATTTATTCAAATAAGAAAATCCTCTGATTTCAGCAGAACACATGAAAAATTACAATACTTTCATAGCATCAGCAACCTACCACAGCACATTATGGCAGACCTTTTAAGTTTTTAGTTTGAGGCTTACGTTACTTTATTTTTCAATAATTGCCTGATGCATGAGAATAGTCCTTACAAAGAAAACTGCGAATATCAATCATAAGTTTACACCAAGAAGTCTTTCATAGTGTTTATCCCTTCCTTGTAAAGGTACTGAAAAGGCAAAGTGCAGCAAGCGTGTGAGACAGTGAAGCATGCTGTCTGTACCTTAAAGGAATAGTAAAAGGATCCCCATTCCTCTTCCTCCACCACTTCAGTGAAAGTCACTGTTTCTGTGCAAGTTACAAGGGTAAAATCCAGCCAGTCTGTACTTGCATTTGAGCTGGTCATGGCTTCTGTAAAACTGTCTTGCATTTTTGGGTTTTGTTTGAGCTCTCTTGGTTCCTCTCCTTGAGGACAAAAAAACAACCCCAAAACCCGCAGTTAAACAGATCCAAGCTCTTTGCAGAGGAGTGCAGGAGCAAATACAGCTTTTCTGCTCCACCACTGTCTACCACAGGCATCAGGGCTTCAGTGCAGCTGAGTAATTCAAACCAGGCTGGAGTCTTTCCTTGAAGCTGTACTCTGATGCAATTCAGACACCGGCTGTCCACACACACTTCTCCATCAGCAGAAGCAGCAGCCAGTAACGTTACTACTAGCAGCTGTGGCATCGTATCTAAGCCTTGCTAACTCCAGACTGTCTTGCCTCCGCAGCTTCCCACTATAAGGGTCAGGACTGGCTTTAAAAATGTTAACATCCATGAGGTATTATACCTCAGCAGGCTGGCTATTTCTTGCTGCAGTTTAATTTCTTATCTTAGTGCAGCCCAGTCTGACTTAAGGAAAATAACTTTATAATTACAGCTTGCCCATAGGAAAGTGGCAACATGCTATCCTGCATGATACAAGATAGGTGTTTGTTGTTGTTTGGGGCTTAAACTATTCTGCCTCTGAATAACTGCCTGACTCACAAAATAGTCCTTACATAGATAATCACAAATATCAGGCAGGCATGGATAGCACAACGCTTTTAATTCAATAAATACGTCATCTTTGACCCTTCCTTGTAAAGCTACTGAAAGTGCAAAGAACTGCAAGCTTGCCCCAAACAAACTGATGCTTCATTGTACGAAAGAGTCTCCCATGTGCTACCTTTGGAGGCTGGGTCCCAGCAAGAACGCTGCTATCAGACCAAGTACCTGTTGTCACCCTTCTTGGACGATTATCTGGCCATGTGACAGAAGCATCCTCTAGTTCCATAGCCTATATCCCAAGGAATGGCACAACATTTATAATTGATACATCTCTGAATTATGAAAAAATCTGCACAGAAAATGAGAATGAGAACAAAAGCCTCAAATCACAGGTCAGTCTAAGGATGCTCAAATTGGTATAGTTTTCACCTTCCTCCATCCCAACAGGATGACATACAGCACTGGGAGGGCTCAGTTCTGATCTCGGTTACATTGTATGAATTTTGATTTTTTTCCCCCATAGGCAATGGTGTTACTCCAGACTGACACCAACATAAATAAGATTCTGCACCTTCCCCTCACTCAGACAAAATCTGATCCTTTATCATAGCACAAATTCAAAAGCATTTGTTCCAATAAATTTATTTTGCTTTTACCCCGGTAAATTTAGAAACAGAATTTGGTCTTTTTAGATTCCTACATACCAAAGTGTAGTTTCTCTTTCCTTACACAACAATTGCTGAATCCAGCCCTGCATTTTGAACTGATTTTATAGCCTATCAGAAGAAACAGATTATTTTCTTCTTCACGTACTAGTCTTTTTTGGGGTTGCATACTCCTTTAAGTGTGTTATACTGCGCTAAACTCCTATCAGTCTATGTTATAGATAGTAAAAAAAAAAAACGTAATAGGGTCATTGCAACAGCAGTATAACTTTCTCAATAACCTGTGGGATATAGTAGAATTGTTCTCCCATTTTTCATTTTTCTTTCTTTATCCATTTCTATTTCTCCTTCCCTTCCTTCTGGCTTACTATTTATCCTCTCATATAACTCCAAGAGTTCATTGGTTTGAGAAATTCTGTTGTATATATTAAAGAGGAATCTCAAGTATAGTTGTGAAGGTTTGAAATTGTCTTCCAGGTAGAGAACATTATAATCCAGCTCTTCAATCAGATGACTGACTTTTTTACATTCAAGTAGTTACAGAAGCATGCACTTGGAGGCAAATTTCTCCCTGACCCCCTTCCAAGATGCTGAATGAGATAAGTACAATTTTATTTGATAAACGGAATAATAATATGAAATGAAAAAGAAATTTTCCAATATGAACAAATATAAAACAGGGTGCTCCGTTAAATTATAAACCTCTGCCATGAAGAGAGTGAGGCAGGGAGAGGAACAACTACTACCTTGTTTTACCAGCTAAGATTTTTGACTGTGAGAAATTTGACTGCACCAAAACATTTGGATCTGGTTCTGGATTTTGAATTGATTACCCTGAAAATTTGAGCTGCCGGTCTCAGATCTTAGTTTATGCCTGTATCTTAATTTAATATAATTAAAACAGAACGAGGATGTAGACAAACAGTAGAGTAGATTTCCCATTTTGTAAGTCTCACAAGTCTCCTGCATGTACCTTGAATAGGATAGTGGAAAACTGGGCGTCCTGGATTCTGTGTGTGTGTTGGTGCAACGTGTGCACTAACAAAGTAATAGCAGCTGATGCACTGTAAATCCAGTCTTCTTTTACCTCTAGCCCTGATTTTTTAAATGCAAGATTGAAATGGGGGGCTTCCAAAACTAAAAGCATAAGCTGCTATAGCCTGAGCTAAAGAGCCATGGATCTGCGACTGAAGGCTGTAATAACTGTCACCCTCACGTCTTGTCAGCACCTACATACTTGAAGTCCCATTATCGGAGTATTGTCTCTGACCATTGAGAAGATGCTAAATGAGTCTTTCAGGCATGTTGTGCTATAATCATAACTGAAGTTAGTAAATGTATCAGATGTTGAGCTGGTGGGTAGCATTCCTGGGAAAAAAGAGGCTGAGAAGCTGAGAGACTAAAAGCAATAAATAGTGCAAAATGGAAAGCTTCAGGGATACTTCCCAACACAGTCTCAAGTTCCCTGCACCCACAGCTTTCCATGAAGAAGGTAGAACTGATATGGTTGGTGCCACTTGGGCCAAATGACAGAGCTCTGCAGGCCACACCTGGTCGTAAACTGTTTGGCACTCCTACAATATGCCATTAGTGTTGTTTGACGACCTACAGAACATTCTGCTGTGTTTAAACATGTCCAAAAATGTTGCTTGTTCAGATTGCTGGTCTCTGGATAAAGCATCCAATGCCATTGAACTTTGGACACCAGTGGCCTTATGACCCCTTCCTATAGTGCTGAGTGCTCAGGACTGTGATTATAAAAGGCTCATCATGTAAAATCCTCCACAAAATGGAATTTCCTTTCTTCACCCAGCAATAGCCTGGGGGTTTCTGACCTTTGTCAGCATGTGGTAACATCACTGTAATTTGTATCCATCAAAGAGAGAGAGGGTTTTTGAAAAATGCTGATTTCAGGCCTGATTCAAAGCTTATTTGAATCAGTGTGAATGCAGCTTTGGTGCTAACTTTGGATGCTTTATCCAGAGACCAGTATTGGATCCTCTCACATTTAGTAGAGAAATTGATCTACTTGGAATCACACAGCATTTGTATGGGTCTAGTGAAACAAAATGGCATTGTATTTTTTTCTCTGAAGCTACTTAGTTGGATAAAATATACCTCTGTGTGTGTGTGTGTGTGTGTGTGTGTGTGTGTGTGTGTGTGTGTGTGTGTGTGTGTGTGTGTATGTATATACATATATATACATACACACACACACACACACACACATATGTATATATAGGCGTGTATGTATGCATACACATATTGTATAATATTATATAATATGTGGGTTCAACATTATATATACACATTCTCCCCCTCATGTTACTGTTTATGAGTGGTCTTATTTCAGACTGGTTTATTTTATAATGAAACCAGATGGGATTCCCTCCCTAGTCTTTTATTTATGGTAGGTGTAGAACCATTTGCAGAATAAGAAATATCCTTGGATAAAAGGAACTAACTGAAGGGAACAAATAGCAAAACCTCATAAAATGTTGATGTCCTCAATTCTCCAACCTATTTAAATGTCTTAAAGAAAAATCTACCCCTACCCACCATTTTTCCCCATGTAGAGCTCTGGAACCTGACTAGTTTCTCCAGCTCTGTTGTAAATCAGGATTGGCTAAAACTGGTGTGAATTAGTTCACTTAAAGTAAGTGACAGAAGAATCAGACCCTATGGACTGAAAATGGAAACCATGATAACCCATGAGCTCCCATAAAATCTGCAGGACCTTCACATAATCATTTGAAATATTTAAGATTTTCAATAAGCTGGGTATTTGTCATCTCACTAGGAAGCCAGTTTGTGCATTGTCACTCTTACTAGAACCTGACAGGTTAGTGTCTGTCCCCGTATCACTAACAGAATTAATTTACATAAATCACACATGCTATTCAGAAGGATATTCTTCTTTCACTGTTCTCTAGGCCTGGTTCTAATGTTGTATCTACTATTTTTAAATGGTTGGATTACCTGGTGCAGCTGAAATAGCTGAAAGGGGAGTTGCCAGGTGGACAGACAACTTCACATACCCTCTCTGCCCTGTTACTTGGGTGCATGGCAAGAAATCAGTTAAATTGTTGGGCAAGAGAGAGCAGCAAATTGTGTCCATATATAGGATGGATATTGGAGTCTGGCACAAAAATCAGGCTTCTCCCACATCCCTTCATTTTTTCTTCAACCACTCAAAATCCCAGTCATGCCTTTAACATGAACATGCACTGAATGTTTGAGAGCTGGGCAGCCAGGGAAACTGTCTGGAGACAGATACTTCTTTTCACCTTACTTGAAAACTACAAAACATTGGCATTATATATGTATTTGTGTTGTGTTCGGGGAGTTATGCTGTTCCATAGACCTGTTCATTGCAGCTCAGAAAGGGTGGAAGAGATTAAAAAACAGGTTTCACAAACCATCCCGGAAGAGACTTAATTTAAAGCAGCATCAGGGTATCTGTAAAATGGGGACATACTAGTTCCTTTCCCTACCCTGTGTCTATTTGAACTGTAAAGCCATGAAGTCAGGGACTATATTAGTATGTGTTTGTAGACAGCACAGCACAAAACAACCCAGATCTTAGCTATTATATCCAGAAGGACATAGACAAGCGTACTTCTTTGTAGAAACGAGATATGTTCTTCTACAGTTATCATTTGGTATCCTTAGTTGCCAAATGCTGTTGAAATTCCAGTGAGCTAAAACCAATTGCGCATTGAAGATCCTCAGGATCCACTGGAAGTGTTTTTTACAAACATCAGAAATTTTAAGTACAGCAAACCAAGCTAAAACATCAAACATGGCAAGACAGCAAAAGATACATTTAGAGCATGCTCTAAGAATGATACCAACAGGACTTCCAGAACAAGCAGTAACATGGATACCACCAAGAAAGAGAAGAATACA